TAGCCACGCACAGCGTGCGCAGTGCAATGCAGGGCAGCCCTCCAGCTAGCCAAATTCGGCCACCTCCTGCCATCCCTAGCCCACCAAACTCCCTGAAACAACCTCCCAATGGCCTTCCTTGCCTTCCCTCATCCTCTAGAACCCAAACAAAGCCACTCCACCAATGCCTGCCAACTGCTCGACAAAATGCCACAACCACATCTCCCCCAAATTCGCACAAATCAATCCTTTTTCTTATCCAATTAAAAAAAAGTAAAAATACGTACCATTTCTTCGCCGGCGTCCTCCTTCTCGCCTGAATTCTCGTCGGTGTCCTCCTTTTCAGAACCGTTTTCTGATTCTTCTCTCTGATCTTGTGCTGCCGTCGTCTCCTCTGCCTGTGGACCACCTTCACTCATCAGATGATCCACCAGAGTGTCTTCGATAACCTCTGAACTGCTAGCACCACCAGAGTTTCGGATTCAAAGTAGGGTTGGGTTTTCCTCCTCTTTATGAATGTCAGCCATGGTTTTGTGTAAGGAAGCTTTAAGATTGAAAATGGATAGAAAAATTTGTCGGAATTTAGGCACTGTAGTCGCCAGAAATCGTAATGAAAGGAATAGTCTTCTTCAGTCGTTTTTTGGGTAACACCTTCGATTAAGCGATTTTGAAGGGTGGGGGCTCATTTTCAAATTTCAAAATTTAAACAACTTTCATTAATTAGGTTTTACCCATATATGTTTAAATCTTTTCAGTTAACCCATTTTATATGTTTAATGAATCCTAAGTGTGCCACGTCAGCTTTTCTAAATTTAAAAAAAAAAAAAAAAAGATTTTCAAGGTCATTTTGTTAAATGCAAACTTGGGATGTCCAAGGAGTTAAATTTCCTCATTCATCTCTCTCTTTCCTCATTTGTTCTGGAACATGCTAATGGAGAGGATGAATTCTGTTACTCATTTACGGCTGGAAATCCTTCAAATACAAGTGGAGGTTGATCCTGAAGATGGCTTTTGGGTATATATTGATTCTATTTGATATGGATTGGCAGCAAGGGGAAAAGGGAAGAAAGCTAGGGTTTCTTCGGGTTGTATTCTTTCCTTGCTCATTTGCTTATTCTTGTTCAATACTATATAAATGAGGAAATTTAACTCCCAGGCCATCCCAAGTTTCCATTTAACAAAATGGCCATGAAAATCTTTTTGATTTTTTTTGGGTTAAAAAATATGACGTGGCACACTTAAGTATAATTAAAGCAGCAAAAAGGATTATGGTGAAAAGATTTAAACATTTGTGGGTTAAAGTATAATAAAGAGAAGTTGATTTAAAATTTGAAAGGCAAAACACATTTGTCTCAGCTTCTCTTTCTCACAAAAAGATTCAAACACCTTTCTCTCTCTTGTTTTTTCTTCCAATTCTTTGCAATTTCTCAATTTCTTTGCTCTTTGCATTTTTGTCATTCCTTGCCATTCCCGATTAAGTTATAATGGCTGAGATCCTTAAAGAAATAGAAAAAAATTCATCTACTCCCCAAATTGTAAGCACCACTGGGTCTAACAAAAATGGAGAAGAAGAAGTTATGGTGGAGTAACTTCCGATGACTGAAGTTGCTCCAACAGGAGAGGAGACGGCGTCGACGGAAGACATTCTATTGGCAGAACAAGGGAGGGAAAGAGTTGAAATTGAAATTGAAGAGGAGGATCTAAAATCGCTTAAGTGACCAAGAGTAAAAGCAAAGGATCACTTAAGCGATCTGGTATAACCGATTTTAGATCGCTTAAGCGATCGTGCATTTGGGCAGAAGTTGATTCTGCTTCGGACATGATCACTTAAGTGATTATAAATCGCTTAAAGCAACCAACGTTTAAAGCAAAGGATCGCTTAAGCGATCATGCGTCTGGGCACTTATTTATTGTCTTGTTCATGATCGCTTAAGCGATCTACGATTACTTAAGCGACCAATAGTAAAAGCGAAGAATCGCTTAAGCGATACACTTAATCGCTTAAGCAATTGTGCATCTAGGCAGAAGTTTATTCTGCCTCGAACATGATCGCTTAAGTGATTTGTAATCGCTTAAGCGACCAAGGTTAAAAGCAAAGGATTGCTTAAGCGTTGGAATAAATCGCTTAAGCGATCGTGCGTCTGGGCACTTATTGATTCTGTCTTGTTCGTGATCGCTTAAGAGACTAAGTGTAAAAGCATAGAATCACTTAAGCGATAATATAAATACAACTAGATCTCTTAAGTGACTAAGTCTAAATATACAGGATCACCTAAGCGATCTAAAATCGCTTAAGCGACCAAGAGTAAAAGTCAAGGATCGCTTAAGCGATCTGGTATAAGCGATTTTAGATCGCTTAAGCGATCGTGCATCTGGGCAGAAGTTGATTCTGCTTCGGACATGATCGCTTAAGCGATTATAAATTGCTTAAAGCAACCAACGTTAAAAGCAAAGGATTGCTTAAGCGATCATGCGTCTGGGCACTTATTTATTATCTTTTTCATGATCGCTTAAGCGATCTACGATCGCTTAAGCGACCAATAATAAAAGCGAAGAATCGCTTAAGTGATACACTTAATCGCTTAAGCAATTATGCATCTAGGCAGAAGTTTATTCTGCCTCGGACATGATCACTTAAGCGATTTGTAATCGCTTAAGCGACCAAGGTTAAAAGCAAAGGATCGCTTAAGCAATAGAATAAATCGCTTAAGCGATCGTGCGCCTGGGCACTTATTGATTCTGTCTTGTTCATGATCGCTTAAGAGACCAAGTGTAAAAGCATAGAATCGCTTAAGCGATAATATAAATATAACTAGATCTCTTAAGCGACTAAGTCTAAATACGCAGGATCGCTTAAGCAAGAAATGAAATCTCTTAAGCGATCCAGTGTATTTGGATTATTTTTATTGTATTTCACTATATTGGTTAAGCGATTAATGCTATCTTAGACATATAAGGTGTACGATTCATTCAGTGGACCATGACCATTATTATATTTTAATTAAATTAGTTCTTTAACGGCTATGTTAAACATATATAGTGTAGAATGTTTACGTCTATATTAAACATATCAGGTATACGATTCATTCAGTGGACCATGACCGTTATTATATTTTAATTAAATTAGTTCTTTTATGGCTATATTAAACATATATGGTGTAGAATGTTTACGTCTATATTAAACATATCAGGTGTACGATTCATTCAGTGGATCATGACCGTTATTATATTTTAATTAAATTAGTTCTTTTACGGCTATATTAAACATATATGGTGTAAACATCTAAAAATAAATATTGAAGTAAATTACCCTTAATCGCTTAAGCGATCTCGTCTATTTAGCCTTAGTCTACAGAGTGCAGAGCAGAAGGTTGTAGAGTTAAATTTTATATCAATATTATATATTGTTATATTACTTTCTTACCAAGAACTAACAAAAATAATAGAATAACAATAGATTTTTCAGTTTTATGTACGGTGTTGATTGACAAAGATCGAAGTGTTCTTTTCACATTCTATTGAAATGAAAAAAATAATTAATAATTAATAAAAAGGACTAAATATTTAATAAACATTATGAAATATAATTTCTTACCGAAGTATATAGCTTACTGCATCACTTAAGCGATCCAGTATATCACTTAATCAATCCAGTACAAATAAGCCTGATCGCTTAAGCGATCTGCTGCAATATATCTGATCGCTTAAGCGATCTGCTGCCATATACTAGACTTATACCAGATCGCTTAAGCGATCTTCTGTCATATACTAGACTTATACCAGATCGCTTAAGCGATCCATCAGATCCAAAACACATTTTCAGCCATCTCCACCTACAATCGATGCTATCACCCCTAGCTACTCACAATGCAAGAAAATATTCACAAATTTCACTCCTTTCAACTTGCATTACATCAAACATAACCCAACAACCTAAATAACTAAATCAAAATCATAACCCAAACCCCATCTATTATTAAATCTTTGTAAATCTAAATATAAAATATAAAGAGGAGATACACATACTTAGACGAAATTTCAGGAGGAGGAGAAGGGAATCTTTGGCGAAGAAGATGTTAATGGTGGAGGAAGAAGAAAGTGTTAATGGCGGAGAAGCAAAAAGATATAAAGGAATGAAGAAGAAGAAGATATAGAGGAAGGAGGAAGGAGGAAGAAGAAGATGTAGACGAAGAAGAAAATGCAGACGAAGAAGAAGATGTAGATGAAGCTAAGAAGAAATAGCAACCAAGGTGGAGATGCGTTAATGGCGGGAGGAAGAAGAAGATGTTTGGGTTTGTTTGCAAGAATTTCAGGTTTTTGGGAATATAGTATAATTTTTAAAAGATTATATAATACTTCTTCAATCATAATTAAACACTAATCAAGTTTAATTACCCTTAATCAATAATATGACTATTTACTTAAAACTTTAAAACTTGATAACTTTTTAATTAAATTCAAACTTTGAGAGGTTGCTTTAATAAACTGCCCCCTGTTAAATTCCCTACTTGACTTTGATAGAAATGGCATCTTATTTGCCCTTCAAGATAAAGCCGAACCACTATAATCCTTTGTGTTGATCTTAATTTCTTTACTTTATTTAAGTTTAAATGCTTCCAGCTTGTTGATCTCTTGCATCTTAATCTGTGATTGCTTTCTTGTTAGAAATTTGTTAGTTAGTCTGAGAGCTACAATCTGTGAAAACTTGATTCGAAATCCAACAAATACTTCATTAAAATTCTTTTTACTGGTAATCTCAATTATGAATGGCTAAATGAAGCAGAATTTAAGATTGGTGAAGCAGAATTCATTTTAGTTAAAAAAGCAGAAGAAGAAATGAAAATTAGCTTATTTCTGTTACAGCGGGGACAAAGAAGACTAGTTTGGCAAATACTTAAAGACATTTGCACAGACATCTACAGGAACGGAAAAAGAAGGAAACAATTTACAAACCAGTGAGCAATAAATGCTAGAACAAACATAGACATTAAACGAGTTTCTTATTTATTTTCTACAAGTCATCAGTACAACCCCGGAGGTGGTGGGGAGCTGTAATGATAAATAGGATACTCTTGGTGTGTTAGCGGCGGTGGAGGTGACTGGTAACTTGCATATGGGTACGGACCCCATTTATGGTTGTGGTGGTGGTGGGGCTTTGGCTGCGGAGGAGGTGGTGGCGATTTGTACTCGTAAACATGGTGAGGTGGTGGTGGTGGGGATATATAGTTGAACATTGGAGGCGGCGGTGGTGACTTGTAAGTGTATAAAGGAGGTGTCGGGGATTTATGATGGCATTTACGATGTGGTGGTGGCGGCGGCTTATAATATGGTTTTGGAGGTGGTGGCGGTGGTGTTCTATGTTTGTAGTGAAATGGAGGAGGAGGGGACTTATAGTTGAGCCATAAGGCAGAGCCAGAGGATGTTCCAGTAACTAGGCAGTTTGATAAGAAGAGTGCAAGAGCTAGGCAGACGTGAACAAACAGAGAGCACTGGAGCCTCATCTCTAGCATGTCACTGTGGTGGATAGATGAACAACTCTTTATATAGGAAGTCTTCTGGAAAGTTAGTGATGACTGATGGAGATAGAGATAGAGGTAAAATAAGACAAAAGGGGGTGTTGATTAATTCTGCAAAGGCACAAGAATGCATGTCTTTTGCAGGGTATGTGTGCACATAAAGCCTGAGACACAAAATGGAGAGCAGGGAATTTTGGTATCATGACGACGTGGCAGATCTTCTCCTCTCTTCTTCTTCTAAGTACTATTGCAATGATTTATTGTGAGGCATTGAGAGCACAATCAAGCACAAAAGAGGAAAACAAATTTAAAATCGGTATGAAGACAAATGTCAAGCTTCAAGGCCAAGTAGAAGATGGGATATAGTCTGTTGAACAGTAAAGAGATTACCCAGCATAGGCATGGGGCATGCTTCAACTAAACAGAAAAACATAAGAAGTGAGCTATAATTCTCACTACGCGTGGGTTCTTCTCATTCTGAAAAGGAAACAAAAGCTGGTAAAAAGAAAATTATTCTCTCATGCCATCTCTGTCAAAGTTTCTGTGATACTTCATACCAGTAGCGCTTTGTCTTCCTTTAAAACATTATGGAACTCTTTGTCAAATCATGCCAAATTATTTCTAAAGTGAAGAAGGATGATAATTAGATCCAATCAGTTAGGAGGCAGGAGGGCTGCAGCATCAATTGCTCGAGTAATGGCAGGGCGAGTCCGGTTAGGCCAGGCCATAATGTGGACATGAATTCCATCCATCCGATAAATTGCATTTATGAGGGTGTCCCTAATTTCATTATGATCACAACAGTGTAAGAGCCCATCAGAGCTAGCACTAGCAGGCATTAAGCTCTTGCCTTCCAAACGAGAGATCACAAGTAAATGCCCAGTTGCATTTGCTTCTTCGTATAGATGCCGCATTCCTGCACGGTCAGCTGCTGACCCTTTTGCTACTGAGTACACACAGATGAAGCCCTGAACACGTTATTGCAGATATAAGAATAGAGATTAATCACTGATCCTTTCACATACTAGAAAAAATGAAAACCAAAGTATACAAAGGAAAATTTGAGGTGCAACAGTGTTACCTCTTCAGTCCGTTTAATATCCATCCCAAATCGAGCTTCTCCCAGTTCTGGAAACATTTCAAGTAAAACTTCGGAAACACCTGGTAGAAACCATAGTCTTATTCCCTGCACTATTTGCATTGTTGTAGTGTTGTTTTGCTGCTTTCCCTTACTTATTTTTTCTTTTCCTGTGGTATTGGTTTTCTCCTTCAAGGAAAGAGTTTAAGAGAGCAAGTTCACAAGGATTTAAACAAATAAATAAATAAATAAGCTTAATCAATGAATTGCTGATTTCAAGTTATAACCTTCCACACAATAAATAATTCTCCTCTTACCATATAACAAAAAACTCATAAAATTAATCAAAGAATTGTTAATTACAAGTTGAAAGGAGCAGTACCGAGGTCAGAATTTGTTCTGTTTGGATATTGACAAACACAAGAGGAACACCTGAAGAAACTGTTGCAGAAAACCAGGCCATGCATCTTGCTGTAGTGGCTTCAGTATTGTGTTCAACCTGTAGGGGTGAGAACAAAATTGAGCTAACAACCGTGCATCGTTGGTCCGGCAAATAAGTACCCGTTTTCATTTTCCAATCATATTTCACACCCTTTTTGCTGAATCCCCGATAATCTAAACTCACCACCCTCCTGCTCATTTCTGCACCGTCAGAAAGAAACCATCTTACAATGTTGATTTATTAGCACTTTGAAAATATGATTTATTTAAGTCACAAAACGAAAAACTCAACCTTGCAGCTCAGTACATTGTTCTAAGGTCAAGTCCCCCAAAACTGCAACATGCCTTTCATCTAATTCAGATGTAATTGTATACCTTTTCTGCAGAATCGAATTCCTGTCGAGAACCACTCGAACGGGGAGTTTAAGTATGTTATCACCCCTTCGAACCTTAACCAGTATGACATCGACAAGATGGCTAATCTTGCCAAGCTGTGTACTAAGTTCCGACTTCGCTTTAACCGGAACAAACAACTCATCAACATCATCAAAACCTTCAACAATATCTCCAGGCAATGGCATGCTCTCGTCCCAGTCTTCCGATTTCTCTTGCTTCACCTGTTTCACACAAACCAGTGTTTGCAAACTGCCCATATCTTTCTTCTTGAAAACAGAACAATATTTTTCCATGGAATGTAACGAGTTTATATTGAAAAAACAACGATTTCATGGAGGTCCTAGAACTGCGCAATATTTTACGAACTCTTCTAGGATGTCAATTTTTAGAACTCTACGTCGAGGTCATAGTGAAGGATTTTCCAAAGCAATTGCGTCTAATTTTTTTGTTTATGACAAATTTTCTATGATAAATAGGACGGCCGATTTTGCCAAGCTAGTTATGTGTAATTATTTGTTTATGCTGAATGAGACAAGAATAGCCGGCATCTGGCACTTGTTATCGAGTCTGAAAGGCAACATAAATTGCAAATTGTGAAGGAAACAGATGTGAACAAATGAAGTATGGCTTGCTGTTCTCATTACAATTTACATTGCCTAGTAATTTAAAATAAAATGCCCACAAACAGTAAATCAAAATCGTACAAGAGACAACACTATGGTTGCTGCTGATGAATTTCAAAAGTACTATATATCCACTCCTTCCGTCAGAAATAACTTGATCAGCCTACTTTTAATTTTCAGCCAATGTTCTTCAGCATTGAAAAAAAATGTACATATTATCATCTAGTTTCCAGCAGATGCAGTATCAATTTCACGTCGAAGCCTTTCGATTTCTGCTTTAGCATTTGCCCTGTCTTCTGGATCATTTGAATTCAATCTCGGAGTTGCAGTTTGTATCTGCCTCTCTAGGCTCTTGATCTGCTTATGCCAAAAGGACTCCAATATATGTTAGATTTAATATTAAGTATATTATAAGGAAGAATGAATTGAGTAAGAAACAAAAACCTTTCTATAAGGCCACCTGTGTAAACCATATCTACGGCATATCTTCTTCACCACAGTGGGACATAATCTCAACCTCCTGGCTGCTCCCTCGATTGGAAGATGAAAATAATTTCTTAAGTCTTCCAATGTCAATTTTCCTGTCCTCTCCCTCTGCACTAATCCCCAGCGCAACAAGAAAGTTCCCAAGTTAGAAAATCAATGTACATGGCAAAAAATTGAAGATATGATATTGATATGACTGTAGAGAATAACTATATAACCTGTAATGCAAGAGAGGTCCTTGGAGGCTTTTCAGCGTCATTCTCCGCCTCCGGCTGATCCATTTCATTTGCAACTATACGGAATTGAACATTCTTCAGAAACTCCTTTTTGATAAATCAAATGAAATATTTGATATATAACATGAACTCTGAAAGACTTTTGTATGGCAGAGAAACAGACGCACCTGAGTTGTTGGGTGGTGGTTGAGGGAAGTCATCTGTTGTTAAATTTTCATCCATGTCCAACCCAACACATAAGGCTTCATAGAAGACGGAGAGGGGATCCCGCGACATGATAAATCCTGCTTGTTTCCTCTCGTCACAATATTGAACAAGATAATTCTTCACATCCTCCATGCTTTTCTTGCAGAAACTGATAAAAGAGAAAAATAAGTTTAAAAACCCCATCATTAAATATATAATAAAATGTTCAGAGCGGTTCAAACTTCAACCCAATACTATCCGAACTACAGAGAAATTGAAATATATTTTGACTAAAATAGTAACTTACTCAATCATTTGATACCGATAAACTGCCAAACTTTGATGAATCGCAAGAATAGCATGACAGATCATTCCAAGTCTTCCATGAATCTCAAGTTTTGTAGTTTCATACCCTATACCATCAATACCAAATTAAACTGAGCAACAAATGTTAATTTTCACTTCAAAAACTACCTCTCAAAGTATATGAACATGTACCATTAGTATGAATAATTTCTCTAAGCACCAGGCAACAACTACATAAATATGGCACGGCTGGCACCGGCCACATTGGTATTGTCCTCATATTTCCACCATTGACATTCTCAGGACATCCTTGATTACTCGTTTCGGCGCGATATTCTGAAGGACCCGCCTGAGAACTCCCTCCATTGATATTATTTGTAATACCCCACAAAATTGGATCACCAAAAGGATCATCAGCATCTTGGATGTTACCAGGATTACTTGAGGATGGAAGCAAAGAAGGATCCTCAAGAAGTGATAAATCGTCAACAGTAGGAGTTGAATTGTTCATGTAATACAAAATGTCATCGATGAAAGAGGCATCATATGGATCATGGTAGGGGACAACGGACCTGGGATCTGCCATGCATAAGATGTTATATAAATTTCAGAGTGAAGCTCTGTTGATGATGATGATGATGATATTTGGTTATGGCGGCGGCGCAATGAAGTGAAGCGCCGCCACTGGTGCGAATGAATCGAGTGATTGTAAGAATCAGAATTGTGAGAGTTTAAAGGGGGGGTATGGCAGGAGGGGGCGCGAGAGAAACAGTTAAATTTCCGTTGTGAAATAGACGGTTAAGTTTTTGAATATGTTTGCGAGTGGTGATTTGGTGGTATGAATTCCATGTTATGGTAGCTACACCTGCTGTCGAACGTTCATAGATAATCAGTAATAGCAAATAAAACATAGATTAAACAAAATTTTAAAAACTACTATATATTTTAAATAAAAATTATCAGTGTTGGTAATTTTTTGTATATACAAAATATTTTTAAATTTAAAAAAGCTATCAAATAACAGTACTATTTTTTTTTATCAATAACTAGCCCATTATGCCCAACAACATGGGTCCAAACATGTTGTGGTAAGCCCATTTGATTCGTGTTGGGTTGGTGTACCGGTGCGTAGACTCGTGGCCCCTGCAAATGAAATCGTGCGAAAATGGATGGACCAAGTCCCCCTATCTTTGACACCTTCTAACGAGTAGAGAAAGTGAAATGAAGTCAGCTGCCTCCTCACTTCTGGGCTCCAAGATTCTTCTCAATTTCAATCACTCTCCTCTCCCTCGCTCCTCCTCTATTTTCTACGCCAAATCCATTCCTCACGCTCACGCTCACTCTCGCCCGCCCTCTTTCCTCCGCACTTATTCATCACGAACCTCTGCTCCAATCATGGCTGCTTCTTTCAAGCCTGAACAAGCCAGGAACCCTCCTGCTCTTCCCTTGCCCACTCCTCCAATCACCAAGGCAACCCTATTTTTCCTTTCTTTCCTCCTTTTTATTACTTTCTAAAAGAATTTAATCGTGTTGATTAATGAAATTATTTTTTGATTTTTGTAGTTCAAGATTGGATTATGCCAATTATCTGTGACGGCCGATAAAGAGAGGAATATTGCGCATGCTCGCACTGCCATCCAAGAGGCTGCTGAGAGGGGTGCCAAGCTCGTTGTTTTGCCTGTGAGTTGTTTTCTTTATTTTATTTTTTTTCATTTTACATATGATATGCGTTTGTTCTACTATTTTACCATCATTTTAATTTGGTTAATTTTGGCTTTAGAGGAGAATTGTGGGTGTTATAATTTCTCAATCATCAACATTGTTGGCTTCGATTGTTGTATTTCAGGAAATTTGGAACAGTCCATATTCCAATGACTCCTTCCCAGTTTATGCTGAGGACATTGATGCGGGTGGTGATGCATCACCATCTACGGCTATGCTTGCTGAAACTTCTCGTCTTCTGAACATCACAATTGTTGGTGGTTCTATACCGGAACGTTCTGGGGATCGGTTGTACAACACTTGTTGTGTATTTGGTTCTGACGGAAAACTGAAAGCTAAGCATCGGAAGGTAGTGTTTGATGCTCACCTTAGATGCCATTTGTTATTGTAGAGAATATGCTTATCTTGTTAGATATATGTGCAGAAACTTTGTAATTCCAGAAGATAGGATTGATGACCAAATGGCTGGATTCACAAATTAAAATTTCCTGCAGAGAGGCATCTAAGAAAGTTGATGATGTCAATATACCATGTTAACTGACACATGATAGAAAGTAATAAGCCATTTAATATTTTAGATAATATTGTATAATTTTATTCATAATCTCCAAAGTTGGTTTCTCTTATATTAAGTTTCCTAATTTCTGCTTTTAGATACTTTTTTTTCCATTGTAAGAAGATAGCTCCCAGTTAGAGGTGTCTTTGTTGAATACTAGATGCTAAGCATTTGGAAAAGAATCTGTATTAAGTAGTATCTTCTTGAAGATATTTTTTTGATGCTGATTTGCAATTTCTGCTTTTCTGTGTAACTACAGATACACCTTTTTGATATTGACATTCCTGGGAAGATTACCTTTATGGAATCTAAGACTCTTACTGCCGGGGAGACTCCAACCATTGTTGATACAGGTTTGATGTTCTCTTCGAGTTAATATCTTACAATATATCTCCTCCAGAGTTGTCCATCTCTATCTAATGGCAGACTCTTGAATGCTTTTTCATATGTATTTTTCGTGATTCATCCAAATTTCTGTCGCTGGCTTTTATTTGATTCTGTTTTGTCATTCAAACTATTGTGACAACTAGAAGACTCCTTTCTAGATGGCCCTTGTGCTACCTGGATATGCTTGACAATGAGAACATTAAATAAATTATGGTAGTTTCTTCAGACTAGCCTCCTTTTTCAACTTGAACATTTAAACTATTGTGTCAACTAGAGGACTCCTTTCTACTGTTCATTTGATATGTCTTATACATTAATATCTGGTTGTGTTGAAGTGTTTTAATTCGCTACAGAGGAAAAATAAAAAAAAATGCTATTGAAAAAGGTTGGCAGCTTTCAGAATATCATATTTTTTTTTCTTTATTCTGCAGTGATTTTGCTTTTATGTTTTGCTCATCTTTATATCACTGGATCACCCTGTTAGTTCATTCTTTTCCATCACTTTTAGTCCTTTGCTTGAGGAAAAAAAACAGGTTTCTTTTGTTTTTCTCATACCAGTTTGAAATATGACCAATAACTGGTTCATGCAGATGTTGGGCGTATCGGCATAGGTATCTGTTATGACATTCGGTTTCAGGAACTGGCTATGATATATGCAGCAAGAGGTTTGTTTTCTTTGTATTTCCATTGGCCCATGAGATGATTGACTCTAATTTTCTAGCTGTGGATATTCCCTGCTTATCACTAAACATCTTGCTATCAGTGTTACAACATTAATTTATGTAATCATCTCAATGGACAGACTATTAAGTTCCATAACCAGAAGGGTCAGCCCGGCAATGGTAATGGTAATAATTTCCCTGGTATAGATACCATAATAAGGCCAAAAATATAATATTGAGTATTAAGTGGTAAATTTGTAATAATAAATATTTCAACAATAGGATAACAGTCACTGTTCTATTTACAAGTTTCAAGATAGTTATGGATGTAGACCCAGCATCATCGCCAGATCTTAATCAGAAACATGAGATTTCTGCAGCAATATACTCAATTTAACTCAACAAAGCCTTGCTTACATTTGTACTGGGTCAGCGACCAGAATCCTTATTTGCGATTAAATACTTATCAATCTCTCTGTGTTGTTATTTTTCAAATTGAAAAGCACTTGAATTTCATGAAGGAAACATCCTATGCATAGGGTTGTAAGTGGAGGTTATTAGTATCTCTCTCTCTTGGGGAGTATCTTATGACATTTTTTAATGGAAAGGCCTCAAAAACTGACGAGCTTACCCAAAAAGATAAATAGAAAAAAACTTTCAAAAACATCCTCTTTGAAGCCCTTCACATGGGCTCAAGTACACAAATTCAATTTCAAAAGAGTGGTCAATTCATGAAGCTATTGCTTGGGAATGTGCCCACCTCACCAAGATCTTGCTTCAATGTAACCAGCCCTGAGCAATGGCCAAGAACATGTTTTTCTTCTATTCATCATTCTGATATGGTTTTAGTATCTTCCCATCGCAACTTGAGGTCTAGAGTTCTGGCACTTCTAGAAATTATTGCCCTGTTCACTGATTAGCTGACAAATTGATTGTAACATCAGGTGCTCACTTGCTATGCTATCCTGGGGCATTCAACATGACAACTGGACCACTGCACTGGGAGTTATTACAGAGGGCAAGGTACTGTAATCTATGTTTTTGTGTTGCTTAATAATAAGCGCAGTTGGGGGTGTGGGTAGAGATATGGTACCAGTAAATGCAAAGGCTCCATTTGCACCATGCGTAACAGTGCTTCTCACCTTTTTGCTTCTGGGGGTGCTTCAAATGACAGAATAGTACACAAATTTGGATGCAGCTCTTGCATCATTAGTTTCAGATTGTGGATACTCTCTAAACACATTTTTATCTTTAGCTACAGTCATTAAATATGAAATATTTATAGCACTGCTTTAATTTTACATCTATGCCGTCAAGATAAATGCAAGATATAATCTTTTCAGGAATAGCAGCAGTTTTATTTGTGAAATTCAAATGATCTGGAAATATTCCTTGGATTGTTTATGAAAAATCTCATATAAAGCATCCCCGCTTTAGTGCAACTATATTCTGTTTAGTTATTCTGTTGCATGTTCTTTTCGGTTCAACTCTAACTTCCCCCTTTGCCGCATTGTCTCCTTCAGTTGATGATTCACTAATTTCATGTCCCAATGGGGACTGGTGTAGTATAAAATTTCTTTTATATATGATGGTTGTGATCGTCTTTGATTTGCTCTTTGATTTCATATGCAGGGCTACAGATAATCAGGTACTGCATTAAAGTCCATTTTTATTGTTTTATATGATTATAGTAGCTGCTTTTTACATCTTTCACAATTAGTACAATAGCCAGCTGTAATAGTTGTCTTGATTCTTATACCAAAATGTTTAAGGAGAAGCCTTAATTGGAATGGCAGTGCCCAACCATGTCTCCTTTTTACAAACTTGTTCTCTTGAAAAGTGAGAAAGAAAATTACCTGGACACAAGAAGTAAGGAAAGTGGGGAACAGTTATATACAAAATCTTTTGATTTTTCGATATGCATACATTGTGGAACTAAGAGAATGGGGAGAAATAACATCCATAACGAGCTACAGTATATAATCATTTTTTGCTTCTGGTGACATTGGAATTGACCATCAGAGATAGAAATGAACGATCATCTTCTGGTCTTAACCAAAAAAGGAAAATGGATTTATAAGATATTTGTGGTTACTGTTTGGCATATTCCTTTTAATTATAGGTTTTTGAGGGATGGAATCTTCAGTTCATTAGTCCTGGTAGTTTGATGGTTGCTGATTTTTTAACATGATGTGCCTTCAAGGCATCTTGCTTTCTTAATTACAAAAAGAACAGTAATGATAATAAGAATAATTTGAGGCATCTTACATCAACTCTTCCCAAGTAATTAAATATTACCAGTAATCTTCAAGAGATTGCAGATTTGCAATTTGTGTTTTATGCCAGTTAAATTACATTTGATACACTGGTTTCCTGTGCTATACTTGTGAGTCTTTTCCAATGGCAGTTATATGTTGCGACCTGTTCCCCTGCCCGAGATGATAAAGGCAGTTATGTAGCCTGGGGCCACTCCACTCTCATAGGACCAGTGAGTTCAGATTTCTTATAAATTCTCTCCTTAAAGTTATAATTTGTTGTATAAAAGAGGATTGTAAGTTCTATGAGTAGAAGTTTTAACTGAACTCTATGAATATGACAGTTCGGAGAAGTTCTAGCTACTACTGAACATTCTGAGGATATAATTGTAGCGGAGATTGATTATTCGCTCATGGATCTCAGAAGGTGATGCTTTCTGACCTAGCAGATAGTGGTTGTTTCAAGAATATATCCTGCCTAGGAAAATTATTATCAAATGTTCTGTTCTATTTTCTCTTACTATTATTCTGATTTAGTTCTTTGCAAATTCCAGGGAAAACCTTCCATTATCAAAGCAACGCCGAGGTGATCTTTACCAGTTGGTAGACATCCAAAGGCTTAATTCTCAGTGATTTGAGGCAGGAATGTTAAAAGATTTGTATGGTGCACAGAAGAAGTTTTATTGTGGAAGAGGGGCACTATGATTAAAATGATGAGACTAGCATTGCCTTTGAATCTATTGAAAAATCTTTGATTTGGTAATGTGAAGTTGAACATTTAAGTAATTACCAAACACTCAATCCTGTCAGGAGTATTTTTGGTATTGTGTTGCTAGTTGGCAAGATAAAGAGGTAGAAGGCGTGGATATGATATGTATACATGTTTATTCTCAGAATGTGCAACATGCAACTACTACATAAAGAATAAAATGTCATTAAAGATGTCTACTCTTTGTAATTGCCTGTATTGCTGATGTATGACAAAAGTATTTGTGTCAAATCAGTTTACTTACGAAACAATTTGTAAGAGACACGAAAGGTAACCAAACCTAAATGGACAGAGATCTAAAATGCTTTGTTTTAAAACCCGGACCAAACCAGCCGGTTCGACCGGGAAGCGGTAGCTTCTCCGGTCCGGTTCACTGTTTAGGAGGTATTTGTAATATTTTAAATTTATAGTGACTATTTTAATTTTTTAGGGGTGTTTTGGAGATATGTCAAAAGTTTAGGGATTAATTGAATGTTTTGGGGTATTTTTATAATAAATAAAAATTTTAGGGACTAATTTAGATTTTTTAGAGATATTTTTGAAATATGCTAAAATTTAAGGGATTAATATGTAATTTTTAAAAAATTAAATTATTGTTGATATTACTCGTCCAATTGGTTGGACCAGTTGACCTGTGGCTTGAGTAGTAAAATAGATTGTCCCTCGATTCGAGTTTTAAAGAAATGTTGAAATGAGTTAAAACTCTTTGAATTACTTTCAGTCTCACAAAAAATTGAGTGCATTTGTTGAATGGATAAACAGAAGAAAGAGAGTAGGATATGGGATATGCTTCTACATTGCACTGGAGACGGAAGCATTCAATATAACACCAGTACACCACCTGCCGCTGCGATCAATAAAAATCCTTTAATCTTCATTTACAAATGCATGCTGAATCAAAAGCAACAACGTTCTTATCTCACTTTATGTCAACTTCACTTGTCATTGGATCCAAACCAACAAATTGGGTCCTCATCAAAATACCTTTTTAAGCATTTCAAGCGGCATGCAAATGCAATGCGCGTATGGATACACACTTTCAACTCCAGAAATCGGTCCACATCGTCCCCCCTGCACGTGCCTGCACCATCTACTCTCCCCCATTCTAAACCCACAACCGCAACCCCAAATCTGTCCACATCAGGTGTTGGCGTGTCCATGCCATGTCACGTTGTACTCTGCTGAGGAGGCAATCTCTGGATCTCATTTCTATTTATGTTCCCCATTGATTGGACGGTCACCAAGATTTTTCAGACAACGAAGGAAACAATTCAACCCCAAATTGATTATTGTTTTGTTTTAATCAGTTGCGTATTGCCAATTATTCATTTTCACTGTTTAATTTGCATTGCTTTTTGTATGTGGTTATTATGTTACCATCTTTCAACTTCTAATAATTTTGATTGATAGCCCCAATCATTTTACCTTAATTAAAGGTTATTTATAATGAGATGCAAAGGAATAAGTGGACGTAGATGAATCCTAAGATGCGAAAGAATCAAGGGAAGACAATCTCCATGCGTACATATAAATAAACATGGGAGAAAGTTATTGTTAGCAATGTTCTGAAAATCGGATCGGACAATGACCCGTTAAAGGGTCTGGTTTCCGGTTTGATTGGTTGGATCGGTCGGTTGGACTATAATTTATAAAAAAATTTTAGTCCCTGAAGGTTTGAAATTCATCAAAAACACCTCTATAATACTCTCTTAAGGTTTAAAATCTATCTAAAACACCCCTGTCGCGCGAAGATTCTGGTGAGTGGTGGTGGCAGCGACGATCGACGGCCAATCGAAGCTGGAATCTTGGGGCTTTTGATGTGTAGGTGCTGACGACTCTGATGGTGGTGCCAAGGAGTTCCATCGGCGCCGGAATCAACAAAAAAAGTCTGACGGTCCCGTGAAGTTTAGGTGGACGGCGAGCGACGATGGGTGGATGATGGCCACTGAAAATGGCAGGGTTTTGTAGTGAAGATGCCGTCAAGTCTAATGGTAGTGATTTCTCCCTCGATCGGTGCCGGAATCCGGCGGGATTCAACTGCGATTGGACCTCGATTCGGCACTATTCCGACGGTCTAACTGCGGTCCAATCCGATTTAAATGTAATTAACGGTTTTTTAAGTATTTCGGATTGGAAATGCCACCGGTCACCAGTCGAACCGGTCCGATCGGCCGGTCCAATCCGGTTTTCAGAACCTTGATTGTTAGGGCCAAAAAATGTTCTCGGCCTCAATGACCCCAAAAAAGCGAAACACCTTCAACGGAATTCAGATCCATGACCCAATTCTGGTTGGACCCACAATAGAATTCATGTAATGGGTTAGCTCATTACACCCACTAGGTTGTTTACAGATTGAGCCAATCACTAAGGCCTTGATTCACTTAAACCTCACCATCAGTTTATCTAGGCCTAAGCCCATTGATCCAAGATCACCTACTGGACCTAGGATTTACTTAGACCCCAAGGCTACCTACTTCCTAATTTGATATCATCCAGATTCTCTCGAAGAGATCCATCTATATCCTAATTCGTCTAAAATCTGAATCTTAGACTAAATAAAACTTCTTCCCTTACCGAGGCAAGTGAATTGAAGACTTTCTTGTTCACTTAACCTCAACCATTATGGACTCATAGTCCTACTAGAATTCGAAGATCCTATGATTGCTATATAAACAAGAGGTATGCCCTCTCACAATTCATTTAACATTACACCTTCAAACCCCTTAGTTCTCACCCTTGAGAGCTATACACCATCGTCATAGTTCTAGTCTTCAACTAAACTTCTGGTAACCCTCTCTTTCCCCTGTCCTCACTAGATTAACCTCATTTAACCTTGCTGACTTGAGCGTCAGAGTGCCTACAACAAACACCACCCTCGTGTTTCCCGTTCACTTCACGCCGGTTTCTTTGTGTGTGCAGGTGTAACGGATTGCTAGTGGCCTTAACCTCACAGGATTAGACCCCCCCTGTCCGTAACCGTAGATTTTATCATCTATAGTTATTACAAATTGTTTCACATCAATTCTTGTCAAGAGAATAACTGTAACGTTTTAAAACATTCATGCTTTATTCAAGATTAAAGAAAATGGTCCAAATTTCGTAGTACGTATCTAATGATACCAATGTCATTCTTGAATCAAAATAAATATTAAATGTTATGAAAGAATATTCATTTGATTTTCTATTAAACCCCACCTTACTTCTTCACTGGCACACTCAATGCCAACAAGCCAACCTCAACATCATAACTGCGACTGATATAGGGTTCACCAAGAATTGCCCAAGCAGTGGTTATAAGCTTCAAAGATGTTGAAGCCACAGTGGAGTGATGTTTCTCAAGCTTGCTCGTATTTATGAGTCGAACAAACTCATGCATGATCATCTCACAAGAAACTGATGAGAAGGGTTCTTCAAAGCCAAGAACACCCACTACAAGAAAAATGACATTTGAAGTCTAGCAAATTTAGACGTAGATAGTTGATTTTAGATGGTGAATGTATTGTGCGTCTAAATTTCCCTTGTCGCACGGTGGTTGTAGTATCTCTGTCCTAGAAAGTATGGGCTACAAAATTTGTTGTTAGATGCAAAAAGTGTTTCTTTTTTTTTTTTCTTTTTTTTTTGGGGGGGGGGGGGGGGGGGGGGGGCGCTGGCAACTAGCAATTTAGTTACTAATTGTCATTGGAATTAGTCTCCGGGTTAGACGCTAAAGTGGGTAAGGGTAAAATGGTAAAAGTGCATCACGACTATTGAATTAGTTGGATAATGTATCTTTTGGTAACAAAAAATTTAGTCATAAAATCCCAAAAATTTAGATGCTAAATGTAGAAAGACAATTTCATCAAACTATTCCCCAACTAATCTATTAGTTGTAGAATGTATGTTTTAGTGAGCAAAGATCTAGTCGTTAATTTATATAAAACCTTAGACGCTAATTGCTGATTGCAAATCTAGGTATATTACCTTTTGCTACTATGACATTAGTTGCAAATTGTGTGTTTTAGTGAGAAAATTTTTCGTTGCAAAAGCATATCATTTTTGGTTGGAGAATGTATATTCCCAATTTTGTTTCTGGCATTTCTTGACTACTGATTTAGTTATTAAAATTGATTTTTTGCATCTAAATAATATAGTAACGGATTGCAAATATTGACTTTAGTTGCTAGTTGGTTGACATTTAAATTGGCAACATTTTGAATGGATGTAATTTTTAATATCCATGCATTCAACCTCAACAAAATAAGAGTGACGCAATATTAAAATATAGATCAATAACATAAAATATCTTCATTGCATTTAAAATTAATAATCCATACATGGATTTTTCTGCATGATGAGCAATAAAAATCCAAAATGCACTATCATGTGTGCATAACCAAAAAAAAAGAAAACATGCACCCCACATTTTCATTAGTACCTACCTATATGTGTATATCCCCAACAAACAAAATGCCCACCCCATATACACCATCTAAGATATGTGCAAGCAATCCGAAAAAGACCAAAAATCATTGTCCTAACCCCATGTCAATATATGTACTGCCCATACAACCAAAAAACTAGGAAATCAGTGTTACCATCTAAGACATTACCAGTTGAGGCCCTAGAAGCAGCTGTAGCAGATGAGGAAGACTCATCAGCTGTAGGAGATGGGGATGGTTGTTAGTTGGTTTGGTAGCAAGTTGCACATGTGCAACTACAATAGTCATGTGAATCAACATCTCAAACAATTTTTCTTGCTGTTCTTCAAGCAATTTAATTTTCTCCTTTTGTTGATCAAATAGTATGAGCTGCTCCTCTAAATACTTAATCCTATTTTATTGTTGTTCAACTGTGTGCCTTAACTCTGTTACATCTGATGTATCATCTTGCTCAGTCACACAAAAGGCAAAATTCTGGTTGAAGCCGGAAGCTTTACCAAGCACTTCCTCATAGATTTCAGCTTCAGTTCTTTCACTTTCCGCAGCCTGGGTCTCATCTAGCATCTCAATCATTTTCTCCTACCATCAATTCAATGCATAATGAATAAGTCCAGCTAGTAAAGGAATAACATGCATAATATAGAGTCTCATGATGTTTGTAGCATTACTGGCATATAACAGAATTTGTGGCCACAAAGAACAAACTGGTATGTAGGTGTTGACTTTTTCAATTAAAGCACACCAAAAGAAAGG